AGGTTGTGGGAACCAGTTAAAAGGGTAGGCCCTGTGCTGTGTGCTTGGTCTACACATCCAGCTTGGTGGCTGTCCCAAGGGGAGAGGATGGCAAGTGGGAAACCCTTAGATCCGTGTGCACCTGGCTGAAGAGACCGCCACAGAGGCCCCGCCTCCCTGGGATATTCACAGGGCAAGTCTTCTTGCAGGACAAGGTCACGAGGCTCAAAGGCAGAGCTCACAGGTGCAGAGCTGAGGAACTGGCTTTGCAGGAGACACATCAGTGCTGGAGGTCAGTGTGCTCCCCACCCCCAGCCCAGGGGAGGAATCAGCCTGCTTGTGACTGTTAGGTTTTATGTCAACTTGCACTTGTGTCTGGAAGGGTGGACCCCAAGCTGTCAATCAGGTCACAGCCTGATGATGCCTCCTGGGAGGTATGGCCTTTTTATAAGAGAGGCGCTGGGGACTACCCGCCTCTCTGTCCTGCCTGCTGGGACTCTGTGTCTGCCTCCATCGGTGGCCCCGTTTAAGCTGCTAACCCTGGGAGACAGCCCCTGAGCTTATCTACACCCTGCCCTGCTTTTCTACCCACCTTGGATCCACGTGGCTCTGCACCTACCTTTCTGCTTCATCAACCTTTGGCTGTGAGAGCAGGCGAGGGCTCCTGCTAGCATGGGTCTTGAGCTAGACAGGGCTAGATGCTCCCATGTTATGCAATTCCATCTTGATTTAAAGTTCCTTGGTGTCCACAGATGAGGGTCACTGGCTTTGTTTCTATCGGCCACCCAGCCTCCCACGTCACTTTGGCCTTCACGGTGTTGCCTTGAGAGGCTCACACAGAGAGGCCAGTTATCCATCCGCACAGACGTAGAGATGTGCTGTGCTTACATTCTAGCACTGCAGAAATAAAGATAATGTTTGCACCGGACGCCTCTGCTCACTGCTCCATTGGTGTGGGGACCACCTGTGTCCATTCAGTTTACTCCCCGGAGACCTCAGGGCATCTTTCTGAGCTCAGCCAGAGACCAACGGGCATCAACACATTGGGTGTGCCTCGTGTCAAAAGCACTGAGCCTTAATGAGTTTAGGCGAACTGCCTAAAGAGAGACTAATCTAGGGAGCTGGGACCTTTAAGGAGTTGTCCCACATGAGGACTAGAACTCTTGGTGGAGTGGGCTTCGTGGCACTGCTTTGTGACCTCTCATCAGCAGGACTTGGTGGCCATTCAACTTTAGGAGGGATGCAGGCATCAGCAGTCTAGCCCCAGAGGGGGAGCCCTCCAAGGCCCCCAAGCCCAGCATCACTCAACTGGAAACTTCCCAAGGAAGGGCTCTCGAGTCTGAAGAGGGCCCAAGAATGTCACTGAAATCCAGAAGTGATGTGCCCTTTGGATCCCTGGCTCTGGGGATGGGAGAGAAAGATGGCATTTCCCCCCACAGGTTCATGTATGAATCCTGCTGGGTTACTGCCAGAAAAGAAACAGAAAAAGGGGTTTGTTTTCACAACTATTGAAAGAGATGTTTGTCACAAGCAAAACACGAGAAGGAGCAGCAGGAGCGGGAAGCGAGGCGAGACAGTGGGCACCTTGAGGAGTTGCAAGCGGGCGGTTGCCAGGTCATGCATGGCTCTGCTCCCGGTGAGCTTCTGGAACCGCAGCGATGGGGCGCCATCGTTCCTGGCCCAGGGAGCGGTGCAGGGTGGCTGGGGATGGAGAGAGGAGGGGAGCAGGGAGAAGGAATGCCCTGCAAGCCCCTCCTCTCTAAAGCAGAGCGTGGCCAGTGTCCCTAGGTGGGTGCTGCAGGTCCTCTCGGTACTTGCCTTGATAGATGGTGTGTCTACACATAGGTTGTGTATCTCGCCCCCTAAGGAGAACATGGACAGAGACCCTGGCCTTTGTATCAGGAGCCCAGTGTGGGCACTTGATTAAATATGGGTGGTTGAGGTTTTAGCAATCACCGGACTTGGGAAGGAGAAGAAGCTGGTCTGCTTGGCCATGGTTGGGAAGGACTTTGGTGGCTGATGGGGTTGGCTGCTGTGCGGACATGTGGTTAGGTTGAGACAGGCAGAGATGAAGAGGTACCCGGAGCAGAGGAGTCTGGTCCTGCAATGAGAGAGGGAGGAGTCCTGAGCTGGGAGGGAAGGTTGGTATTGAGCTGGGAGAAGGGTTGGTTCTGAGATGTGAAAAGGGCCTGTCTGAGCTGGGAGAGAGGCTGGACCTGGGCAGGGAGAGGGGCCTGGTCAGCCAACTTCTCACCCTGGGCACCTCTGACTGAGATTCCTCCCTCTCCCTGGAATTTCTCCTCCACTAGGTCAGGTGCTGTACACTGTCTCTCAGGTAACGGAGGAAGGATGGGGTAGGAAGGACTTACCTACCCTTCCTTTTGCACATTCATTCTCTGGACAAACACGGTCACACCAGTATCCACTGGCCAACAGAAGGTAATCCTCGTCGAGCCCCCCACCCTACAGGATCGGCAGTTTCGTTCTCCGAATTCCCGTGCAGAGTTTGACGTACCTGCTCACGGTGTTCCCACGGTTTGGGTCATAGAGTGGTTAGAGTGTTGCTCTGCTTCTCTGGGTGAATCCTCCATCACCAGACATTCATCCTCATGTCGTCGTCGTTGCAACTGCAGCATTGCAGAATATTCTCATGCATGCCTGCATTGTCGCTCTCTCAGTGTTTTCCTGTTCTGCAGCATTTCGATGTCTCCCGACTGTAATGCTGAGAAAACTAGAAAACACCCCATTGTCGTGCATATGCATTGTCAACGAGGAAGGAGGACTGGAGAGGAAACGATGCCTTTGAAGTATGGCTTGGCAAAGAATATGAAATGTAGTGGGGGCTGCCAGAGGGAAGAACCCATCTGTCTTGGAAGAAGTGTATCCTTGGAAGGGAGGATGGGGACACTTCATCTCGCTTCCTTTGGACTTTCCAGCAGAAGGGATCAGTCCCTGGAGAAGCCATCATGCATAGTAGAGTAGAGGGTCAGCACAAATAGGTCCTTGTGGTCTGCTGTCAATTTGAGAGGCTTAAAAGTGAAGGGGTGGAGTTTAGCCTGTCAATCAGGTCGCAGCTTGATGACCTCATTTGGAGATGCAGAGGAGAAAATAGCTCCCTGGTGGCAGGATACATGCTTACTGCCTGCAAGACATCCCTGTGCAGAAGACACATGGAGTTACACTAGAACCCTGGAGCTGAAGGAGCCACGTGGAAACCCCTGCTGGCACTGAGATGCTTCCACTGCTCTTGGATCCACAAGACTTCCCACCCATTGGCCTGTGATCATCCTGCAATCAGCATCATTGCATGTGTTGTGTGAGTCTGGAGAGAACTTATAGACTTGTGCTTGACATATGGGCTAATATCGAATTTATGGGCTTGATCTGGACTGGTCTGGGATGTTTTCTCAATATTCAATTGCTCTCGTATATAAAGGTCTGTCTTATCCACATCTGAGTGTCTATGAGTTGGTTTCTCTAGTCTACCCAGACGGACACAGCCCTCCGTGAGTGACCTTCAGCACAGTGATGGCCTCCAACACAAGGATCGTGGGGATGGTGCAGGCCAAGCAGTTTCCTCCTGTAGTACCTAGGGCTGCTCCGAGTTGGAACCAATCAGATGGCACTTAACAACAAACACAGCGAGAACCATGTGGCTAAGTTCTCGGGAGCTAGAGAGAGGATGGGCACGACTAGAAGAAGGGGCTCCCTACTTTATCGCCGTCAGGAGAGGAAGGGCGCAGCGGTGCCTGGGAGTCGGCAGATGTCAGGGAGGAAAGAGCTGATTCCTGGGGAAGGAGCGACAGAGAGGCTGCGTGGTTTGCAGGTCTGGCTGCTCTCAAGGCCACACGTCTCAATCCTCCCCCATCCTCGCCTTCCTGGGGAGCCTTCCCCGATCGTGTTGCCTCGTTTAGGCTGAGGAATAAGACTATGCTGGGTAGGGTTGAGGTTTGGAGGACCACAAAGCCTTGTCATAGCTAAGCTTTTGAAGCCTCCAGAGAACCAGTTTCCCCCCTTGGGTGTGGAGTATGCATTTTCTAAAGCCAATAGGAAAATTCTATTCCTAAATCCACCTCATCATCCAGTGTATTCCCACTCTGCAACCCCAAGGAGAGAAGAGAATGACTCCCTAGGGTTCCCGGGGCCTTAGCTCTACAGAAGCAGATGGCCTTACTTCTCTCCCACGGAGCCTTGGACGCTCAAAGCTGGAGTGGGAGTGCTCAGGCCAGGGTATCTTCTTAAAGGAAATGGCAATAGGAAGGAAGGGTGGGTGCTATCCTGGGGGTGGGGGCACAGGTGGGCATTCCCCGTGGGCTGATTTGGGCAGGGGCTGTAGGGGAAGAGCAGAGGTGGGCTGTCTTGGGAGCTTGCCCCCCACCCGCACCCCCTTGCTTGGTAACTATTGTTGATTAGAGCTTTGCACTCCCTTGTGTTCCAGCTGATGAAAGTCGTGAATGAAATGTGCCCCAATATCACGAGGATTTACAACATTGGCAAGAGCCACCAGGGCCTGAAGCTGTATGCTGTGGAGATCTCTGATCACCCCGGGGAGCATGAAGTCGGTGAGGGATGCGCTCCCGGGTGCCTCGGGGCCTGTGCTCCTTAAAGGACAGGGAGGTGACTGTCCACTCTGAGCACATTTGCCCAGTCGGGCCTCAGTGGTCCAAGACAGCTCCCACGGAGATGCTTCTGCAGCTCTGGGAGCTGTGGGCACTCCTCTGGTGGAACGATTGAGAATGGAAGTGGCCTTTTCTCTCCACAGAGACCACCCTCTCCGTCTCTGAGGCCAATCCTAAAAGTGCAAAGACAAAAAGTGGCTGGGGACCCATTAGATTCCAGGCCCCTCAGGAAAAAATTGTGGACTTGTGGAAAATTATGAACAGCTCAAGGTCAAGGGGTGGAAGCCTTCTTGCTTTACTTCTTGCGTTTAACATTTCCATCCCACACGGATTATGTCCTGCTGTTAGCTACTTCTCATTCAGTCCACCCCAAACTCCTCTGAGGGGGCTTTCAGGAGAGAATTCCATGACCATCTTGTTCCTTTCCCCGATGATCATGCTGAGAGGCGTCCTGGTATGTTCAGGAGTCCGCTGAGCTGGTGTGGGCTTGTCATTTGGCAAATTCAGGAACTCTTTAGCAATCCACTGGCATCTGAGAGCACAGATTTGTCTGATTCATTGCACTCAAACCTCCCTCTGAGTCTCAAGGGCCCTCTCCGGAGCTTCTTTTAAAGGACGAGAGAGCGTTGTCTGCGGGTACAAAGTTCCTCAAAAGCAGGCAGACACTTTGCCTGCGAGCTGGGAGATACGCGCTCATGCCTGGTGCTGATCAACCCACGGTGTTTCAAGAGCTGGCCTTGGAAGAAGGGAAATATTCAAAGACAGCTTCATAACATGAAGCCGTTGCTCATTTGCCCGGACAGGTTATTCTCTGCTTTCTGTGTCTACTATTCTTGGTGCCTTTGTCATGTGTAACAGGCAGCTGGTTCAAGAAAAGGAAT